AATTTTACCAATCTTCTTTTGCAAGTGGATTTAATAAGATCTCTCACGCTGTCTTCTATGCTTGACGAAGACCGCAGACATTTTACCGAAACGTTTGCGTAGAACTTAGCCATCCTAAAGACTCCCCCGACAAGGTCAAGGTCTGTGGTGCGATATCTGTGAAACATCTGACGGTTTTTTCACGGTCAAGGTTGAGCCCCATGACCTGCTGTGACCTTTTGAAATAACACGTACTGGCCCATACAGATAAGACCTACACGGGTCGATACGGAGGGATGTCAGCCGCCTTTTTAATTTTTTTAGTTGGGGGGGGGGGGGGGGGGGGGGTCCAATAGACTTTAACCTTGTTAAGTGGGGAAAAATAATGTTCAATATAATTCTTTTTACTAGGATATGCTGAATGGCAAATAACTATAATTATTATATTGAAAATGCTTTTTTTTAAAGTGGGGGGGGGGGGGGGGGGGGGGGGGTGGGGGGGGGATTGGTGGCTGAGTAGACGTGTTTCTTAAAAAAATCTAGGTCAACAGGTTAAAATCAGTTGTCAATAATTTAGAGCAATCGAATGCTTTCATGAACATTTGCGGCATAACTAGGTTTCAGCATTTGGCTGCACTGTGCTAGTTGATACGGTTGGTTATTGTGTTGTTTAGTGAAACTGTGTTTCGTCGATGTTGAGGTTTATGTATCTTTTGCCAGGCTCGCAGTTCAGCAAAGATTGAAGAGTTTAAAAATCACGTGAATTGTGTGCGTGTTCATATGTCTTTTTTGTCTGTTCATCTGTGCTGTGCTATCAGTGTCAGACATGGACACTAGCCAATAGCGTTAGTGCAGTCGAAGAAAAGCTCGCTTTCAAATCCAGCTGCGACTCGCTGCAGCCCACGGTCGGTGTTCGAAACCGGGCGGCTCCCGGGTTCACCCAGCCCCTAGGAAATGGGTGCCAGAGTGATACTCTTGGGTAAATGGAGGAACGTCGCTGTAGCTACAGAGTTACGTGCGAACGGCGACACAGGCGGACAATTCTTATCAGCTGTCTGTACTGGTGGCAGAGCACTTATGGTTTATAATCCGTGTGCAATGACGCTGGTTCACATCTCCCGACTTTACCTTAACTAGCTTTAGATGAGAGAAGGAAAATAGTCACGACATAATGAAATGTTTACGTACTACGCTAGGTGTTATGAGGAAAGATCGACTTAAGAACGATGATATCGGGAGGAGAGTCGGCACAGAACCAATACTGAACTTTATAGGTAGACAACAAACCAAATGGTTTGGCCATGTAACATGATTATCATCAGACAAGGCACCACAGAGTGCAATGTTATACAGATACAAAGGTAACAAGCTCGGTGTGTCGACCACGCAAAACATGGACCGGAGAAATATCAGAGACACTGAAAAGAACTTTAAACGAAGCGAATAAAAGGGGCAGTTCCAGAGATCTCTTCCTGCCCTAATGCCGCGAGGCATTCCAGGAGTAGAGAAAATAAAAAGTTCTAAATCTATATTTTATAAACCAGTCGTTATTCACTGACCGCGTTTACTTCCCAAAATTGTACCTGGTACCATTTAAGGCTGGGTCAACCTGGCAACCAAGGCCATTCTTGAAAAAAAAAGTCAGGCTTCTTTCAGAATTGAATCCTCAATGTTTGGACCTACAGGTGAACGTGTAGCCGCTACATTACCGCTGCTACATCTTCTCGTTCGTCTTCGCACTTAAAAGAGCGGCAGGCATCAGGTTTGTGATGTCTAATAGCCTACTGTTTGTTTCCTTCTGTTAAAATATGGTGGCATATTGCGTACAGGACCCGTTTCCCCGCTTGTAGGCGCACAGGCATATAGGGCTAGACCTATTTTTTTGCAGATTAATCGGCACTCAGTGGGTGATGTGGCCAACATCATGCCGGCCTCCTTCACTTCTCCTGACTTTATCTGGTGCCCACTGTAGGCTGAGTCGTCCTGGAAGCCAAGGTCATTTAGAAGAAAAAAAAGTCCGGCTTCATCAGGACCTGACCACATGACCTTCAGATCCGCAGTCAGGCGTCTAGCCGCTACACCATGGCGGTTGTTACTGCTTACAGGACGCTGCAGAAGCCACCCTAACCTGTGTTTGGCTGTATGTAATTTCATGAGGCAATGTTACACTCAGTAGCATGTTACTGTAAGTGAACAGCCGACTCTCGAAAGCAGTTTTTTTTTCTTTTGACGGTACGCAGTACCTGCACCACTGGGATAGACACACAGTAGACGTATTTAAAAACAAAATAGGTCAACATTTTAAAGTCAGTTGTCACTAATTTAGAGCAATCGAATCCTTTCATGAACATTTGCGGCATAACGAGGTTTCAGCATCTGGCTGCAGTGTTCAAGTTGATACGGTTGGTTACTGTGTTGTTTAGTGAAACTGTTTCGTCAATGTTGAGGTGCGTACCGGCACCTTTCATGAGATACCTTGTAGTGAGTACCGGCACCTTTGTTTCGAGAAAACATATCCCTGCTCGAAGCTATTGTCGAAATCGATGTAATGCTGTCTTCTGCCATATCACACTCAGCTGGAATGGAACTAGGCATCTTAGAATTACAAACGCGTTCGTAACTCTTAAACTGCAGTCGCTGATATATCCACCACGTTTTAACACTCTTGTAAAAACATCGGCATCTCTACTCTACCCCACCCCACCCCTTTAATTGATTTATTGTCCGGTATTGGCTCACAGACAACAGAACACACAGGAAACAACTGCCTAGTTAACGAATTTCTGTGCTTGCCACAACATTTCTTTTTTTTTTTTTTCGTGTTCATTTTTGCAAAAAAGACATTTTAGATGTATAATCTGCGTGTCCCATCTTGTGTCACATTGTAAACTAGATACTCTTCCCCTGGTTCTCCTTGTCAGTGGTTTCCAGAGGTCTCTATGAAGGCTAGGGGGCTGCGTGGTCTCGAGGCATGGTGTCCGCCTCCAGTGCTAGAGGTTCCGGTTTCAATCCCCGGTAAGGGATAAGATTTTCTCACCTGGACTTGGACTTCTAGTAATTCGCCCTGGTCTCTGGGTAGTGAGATTGAACGCCCGTATGCATTCCTGCGCATATAAAAAAAAACTCCCTTGGCAGTTGGAAATCGAAAACAGTAACCTAAAAAAATTTGGAGTTAGAAATCTACCTAAAGTATTTCAGGATCCTCGCCGGTGCTACAGAGCCAGTGCACTGTGCTGAGTTTCTACGGACTCAGACTTGACTTGGAAGAAGAACGGAGCACTCGTGGGTTACACCCGTGTGCCATTATATTGATCCGTTATTCAAAACCTCTCTGTAGGCTTTGAGCGCTGAGGTGCATCGCAAGATCTTCACTAATCCATAGAGCTCGGTTTTTCCAATAATGCCAAATGGCCAGACCTGGGATTTCTCTGTTTATGTAGACCGGAAACGGGGGGGGGGGGGGGAAGGGGGCAGTCCACGTGTGCGCAGTCTACCATTATTGCAGTGGTGTCTCTATGTTGTGCGCAGTCTACCATTATTGCAGTGTTGTCTCTATGTTGTGTGCAGTCTATCATTATTGCAGTGGTGTCTCTATGTTGTGCGCAGTCTATCATTATTGCAGTGATGTCTCTATGTTGTGCGCAGTCTACCATTATTGCAGTGATGTCTCTATGTTGTGTGCAGTCTATCATTATTGCAGTGATGTCTCTATGTTGTGCGCAGTCTACCATTATTGCAGTGATGTCTCTATGTTGTGCGCAGTCTACCATTATTGCAGTTATGTCTCTGTGTTGTGTGCAGTCTACCTTCAGTGCAATGATGTCTCTATGTTGTGCGCAGTCTACCATTATTGCAATGATGTCTCTATGTTGGGCGCAGTCTACCATTATTGCAATGATGTCTCTATGTTGTGCGCAGTCTACAATTATTGCAGTGATGTCTCTATGTTGTGTGCAGTCTACCATCAGTGCAATGATGTCTCTATGTTGTGCGCAGTCTACCATTATTGCAATGATGTCTCTATGTTGTGTGCAGTCTACCTTCAGTGCAATGATGTCTCTATGTTGTGCGCAGTCTACTATTATTGTTGTGATGTATCTATGTTGTGCGCAGTCTACCATTATTGCAGTGATGTCTCTATGTTGTGCGCAGTCTACCATTATTGCAGTGATGTCTCTATGCTGTGTGCAATCTACCATTATTGCAATGATGTCTCTATGTTGTGCGCAGTCTACCATTATTGCAGTGATGTCTCTATGTTGTATGCAGTCTACCATTATTGCAATGATGTCTCTATGTTGTGTGCAGTCTACCATTATTGCTGTGATGTCTCTATGTTGTGCGCAGTCTACCATTATTGCAACAATGTCTCTATGTTGTATGCAGTCTACCTTCAGTGCAATGATGTCTCTATGTTGTGCGCAGTCTACCATTATTGCTGTGACGTCTCTATGTTGTGCACAGTCTACCATTATTGCAGTGATGTCTCTATGTTGTGCGCAGTCTACCATTATTGCAGTGATGTCTCTATGCTGTGTGCAATCTACCATTATTGCAATGATGTCTCTATGTTGTGCGCAGTCTACCATTATTGCAGTGATGTCTCTATGTTGTGTGCAGTCTACCATCAGTGCAATGATGTCTCTGTGTTGTGCGCAGTCTATCATTATTGCAGTGATGTCTCTATGTTGTGTGCAGTCTACATTCAGTGCAATGATATCTCTATGTTGTGCGCAGTCTACCATTATTGCAATGATGTCTCTATGTTGTGCGCAGTCTACCATTATTGCAATGATGTCTCTATGTTGTGTGCAGTCTACCATTATTGCAATGATGTCTCTATGTTGTGCGCAGTCTACCATTATTGCAATGATGTCTCTATGTTGTGCGCAGTCTACCATTATTGCAGTGATGTCTCTGTGTTATGTGCAGTCTACCTTTATTGCTCGCTGCCGCTTGTTAACACACGAATTGTGTAGGAATTGTCAACACAAAAATTGTCTCTTGTAGTTACAGGTATTATGGGTATCACCCTGTTCGTGTGTGTGGTTGCCTTGGTAGCCCAAGCTGTCGCCCTGGACAACGGCCTTGCCCGCACCCCTCCTATGGGATGGCTGTCCTGGCAAAGGTTTCACTGCGACAGAGACTGTGAAACGGATCCACAAAACTGTATTAGGTAAGGCATTTAGGTAACCTCCCTGCGTTAAGATAGTATAGATGATTCTTGGTGGCTTCCTGCCGACAGTGTCTGTCTCTCTCTCTCTCTCTCTCTCTCTATATATATATATATATATATATATATATATATATATATATATATATATATATATATATATATATATATATATATATATATATATATATATATATATATATCTATCTATCTATCTATCTATCTATCTATCTATCTATCTATCTATCTATCTATCTATCTATCTATCTATCTATCTATCTATCTATCTATCTATCTATCTATCTATCTATCTATCTATCTATCTATCTATCTATCTATCTATCTATCTATCTGTCTGTCTGTCTGTCTGTCTGTCTGTCTGTCTGTCTGTCTGTCTGTCTGTCTGTCTGTCTGTCTGTCTGTCTGTCTGTCTGTCTGTCTGTCTGTCTGTCTGTCTGTCTGTCTGTCTGTCTGTCTGTCTGTCTGTCTGTCTGTCTGTCTGTCTGTCTGTCTGTCTGTCTGTCTGTCTGTCTGTCTGTCTGTCTGTCTGTCTGTTTATCTATTTATCTATCTGTCTATCAGTATGTCCGTCCGTCTGTCTGTAACTTTTTACCATCCATATATTCATCTATCCATCCTTCTGTCTGTCTATTAGACTCGTTCTGCCTGTCTCTATCTCTCTAACTCTTCCTTCCCCCCATTTCCCCCTTCCTCCCCCCTCTTTCGCTACTCGGCCTTATAAATAAATTAATCAGTTTTGACGATGATGCAGTTATGTAATGAAGCCTGGGCCGTCTCAACGTACAGCTACACTGATTCATTGTCTCTGGGCAAAATCCTGTATTTAAATCAGTTTCCTAATATCTGAGAATGTTCCAATTGTTTTTGTCAAAGACTTGATCAATAATAACTAATTCATAGTAATTTCATAAGGAGGTACGTCTGTCTGGGTTACTTCCGCCTGCATGATTTGCCAGTTTTAATTACAATTTTACGTTGCCTTAAAAAAAAATTCACAGTTGAATGTTCGCTTTATATCATCCGTTTGTATTAATTATACAGCAATGTAAAGTTGTGTGAAAGCGGGTCATGAATGATACAGGTAATAAAGTGGACTCGCGGGAACACAGTGCGATGGACCGTGTTGTGTGGAGTGGGTACATCATGAAGGGAATTAGAATAAAGGAGAAAATGACTGCAGAAAGGACGACAGCTGAGCGTCTGCAAAGAAACAGACTGAACACAAATGTTGACAACAGTGATATGAGCAATACGCATTGTTACTGTGAGAATCTCTATATAACAATGGGTGCATGGGAATACCCTGCCCCTGTTTACAAGCATTTTACCTTGTTATAGTAAGAATCTTGCTTGACAATGGGTGTCTGAGATAATGTCCCCTGTTTACTCCCTGTTTACTAACGATGTGACTTGTCATAGTCAGAATCTCTACATGATAATGGGTGCATGGGGTTCCCTGTCCCTGTTTACAAGCAATGTGCCTTGTTACAGTGATAATATGTATATGACAATGGGTGCTCGAGGTACTGACAATGGGTGCATAGAATTTCCGGCCTTTGTTAACAAGCAATGTGCCTTGTTACAGTGAGAATCTCTACATGATAATGAGTGCATGAGATTTCCAGCCCTTATTTACAAGCAATGTGACTTGTTACAGTGAGAATCTCTACATGACAATGGCAGACGCAATGGCCGCTAATGGGTACAGGGACGCGGGCTACCAGTATGTCAACATCGACGACTGCTGGTCGGCCATGGAAAGAGATCCGGTCACCAACAGACTCGTGGCCGACCCTGTCCGGTTTCCACATGGCATTAAAGCTTTAGCAGATTACGTAAGTACAGGGTCTCCATTTAAGCCCTAGCAGATTACGTAAGTACATGGTCATAATTAAAGCTCTACCAGACTACGTAAGTGCAGGGTATCCTCGACTTACGACTGAGTTCCGCTCCGACTAACTGGTCGTAAGTCGAACTAGTCGTTTCCCGTGTGGTTTCCGGGACCCCACTGTGGGAGAAACAAGAACAGACCCACTGCCTTACCAGCAAGCATGTCGTAGGAGTCGACTAACTAGGAAGTCCTTTAAAGTCGGAGTGCATCTGCCCGAGCGGCAAGGAACAACTAACTGCATACAAATAAGGCGGTAAAATGGATGTACAAAAAAATTAACCCAGACCGTACAACTGCAAATATGCATAAGGAGTAGATGAACAACCAGAAGTTTCTGCCAAAAGTTTACAGCCAGTATTTGCGAAGCATAAGACAAATGGTTGAGGATTAATATTATTAGTGCACTTCTATAACATATAATTATACTGTTAGTCAACAATTAGTAAAGAGGCAAAGAGTGACTTGCTGTGAGAGGTTAGTTAGTAAATTAAATATTATTTTCATCCACTTACCCAGAGCTCCGAAATATCTTGACACTATTTATCCACAGTGTAGTTGCACTATTTATGCACAGTCAGGATGAAAAGCAATATCGTGTATATCCACTTCACAATATCCACTTCACAATATCCGCTTTTCGATTTGTAATACGAATACATTCAGAACACAGAACTTCGTAAGCACATTAAAATGTCCCACGATGCAACACACGGAAAGGACTTCCAGTAACCAGTTTCCGAGGGACTCATTTCAAAAAGTGGGCTATTTAGTTGTTAGGCACAATATAGAGACGGCGTTGGGTAAAAGTAATGTTTCGCGCCCCAGATCCCGCCCATAAACACACTAGCTCACTTCTGATTGCTAGACCTTGAGCCACGTGACATTGGCCCACGGGTACGGGTGTGTTCCACAATGCCGTTGATATCGCGTGTTGTATATGTCAGCACGCAGGGCTTTTAACACTCCAAAAACATGGACAAACTGGGTCTAACACAACCATCCTAGAGTGCTGCAACCTATATAACAGGCAACCTCTTTCTCGGAATAAAAATGTAAATGCAAGACAACCCAGAAAGCAAACAACAGAGCGGCACACACGTAACCTGCATGAAAGTAGACCACCCCAACAAACTTGTGAATGAAACTTCACCTACTTTGTTTGGGGAGAATAACTTAAACCTAACCCATTGTTCTTGTACTCCTTGATCAGATTCACGGCAAAGGACTCAAGCTGGGCATATACGGGGACATGGGCAACAAGACCTGCGCCGGGTACCCGGGCAGCCAGTTCACCTTGCAGCTCGATGCTCAAACTTTTGCTGAATGGGAGGTCGACTCTTTCAAAATGGATGGCTGCAACAGCGACCCAAAACTCTTTGATTCACGTACGTGATCGAGCAGTCTGTCTATTCTCTTGTTTTCTGTATGTGAATCGTGTTGTTTATTTATATTCCTAATTCCTGTTCATCAGCGTCTTGTTTATCTCTATTATTATTTCTTCTACACGATCGTGTTGTTTGCTCTGTTCTTGATTTCTGTTTATGATCATTCCTGTATATGATTGTGTTGTTTGCGCTGTTTTTTAATTCTGTATCTGGTCGTACTGTTGGTTTTATTCTTGATTCCTTTACATGATCGAGCTGTTTGTCTATTCATATTCTTTATATGATAGTCTTGCTTGCTTATGTCATTGACTACTGAAAGTGATCGTGTTGATTGTTTCTATTCTTGATTCCTGTACATAATCCTGTTGATTGTTTCTATTCTTGATTATTGTACATAAACGTGTTGTTTGTTTAAATTACTAATTCCTGTAGTCATCATGTTGTTTGTTTCTATTCTTGATTCATGTAGTCATCGTTTTGTTTGCTTCTATTATTAATTCGTGTACGCGATTGTGTTTTTTACTTCTATTCTTGATTCCTGAACTTGATCATGTTGTTTGTTTGCTGCTAGTCATCTTTCCTATAGGTGATCGAACTGGTTGTTAGTCTCTGTCTTTGAATTCTATAAAAGTTAGTTGTTTGAATGTATTGTAGTTTGTTTCTCTCAACTCCTAATCAGTTTATCGTGCTCGACTACTTCCATCAACGAAAACTGCATTTCTGGTGGCGACTGTTGGCTTTGGCACCTCTTGCAACTGTCATATGCACCTACTGCGTACATATGTTTTTGGATTGTGCAGGAACAATTGTTTGTTCACCAGTTTTTCAAATATAATAGCGACGACATTTCATTTGATTTTTAATGGCACAGGAATAGAAATAAAAAATATGTGGAAACTCGATTGCAGTAAAGTTGAAACATCAGTATATGGTGTCTGCCCATACACATAACGTTATAAACACTTAGAAATAGAAAGAACCAAACAATGATATAATGATGTTTTGATACAGAACATATCAATTAATGTCGACGTTTTTATTTCTAGTCTTTCCACAGATGTCAGTTTTCTTGAATCAAACAGGGCGCCCAATACTTTTCAGCTGTGAGTGGCCAATGTATCAACACAGAGCAGGAATAAATGTGAGTTGTGCTCTTTACTGACTCAATTAATGCACATAATCGTGATTCAATGGCTGACTCACTGACTCAATGAATGACATACTCAGTGGTTGACTCACTGATTCAAAATTTATCTCACCTACTGACTCGACGGTTGACTCAATGAATGACTTACTTATTGACCCATTGATAGACTCACTGATTCTATAACTCACTGATTCTATCTGATTCTATAACTCACTGATTCTATAACTCACTGATTCTATAACTCACTGGTTCTATAACTCACTGGTTCTATAACTGACACTGCTCAATGTATGTCTCACTGACTAACCCCGAAATATCAACAGAAAGGGTACAATCGAGAGGATCGACTTCACTGCACAGAAGTGAATCCCACACAGCGTGGTCTCTCCCCGCAGACGAGCTAGCCATCTCCCGAGAGAGTCGCACAAACTCCTCAGCTCCAACGACGAAACCAAGGGATCTCCGTGAAAATAGCACCATTGAGCCAAACCACGAGGTTGGCGAAGCGAACCCACGACCTTCAGAGGCAATCAGTGTGATCTTCTCGCCACGAAGACCTTGTTTGAAAGTTATATCTGATTTTACCTGGAAGTAACGAACACACATACGTGTTTACATTGGACGTGCTGTCTTGTCGAGGGGTCGAGACATACATAGAGCACTGAGTCAGTTGTAGAATCAGTGAGTCTATCGTGGGGTCAGTAAGTGAGTCATTCATTTGAGTCAGCCGTTGAGTCAGTAGGTTAGATAAATTTTGAATCAGTGATTCAACCACTGAGTATGTCATTCATCGAGACATAACAAACATCACAAACTGCAAGTCACAATTTTTTAAGGGGGTGGGGGTGGGGGGGGGGGGGGGGGTCATGTTATGAAAAGGAGACTGGAACAGGTTGGGACTACTGGAAAATTTCAGTGGAAAAAGAGACAGGTGAAGACAAAGTGAGACGGATCCTGACTTTTTCTTTTGACCTCGGGTAAATAGACAGTTAACGCAGGAAAACATTTGTAAATAAGAATACAGGAGGAAAAAGAAGGAGGGGGGGGGGATAAATGTAGAGCAACCAGTTCCACGTTTTAGGCGTACTGGGCACATAGGGCTCGTCCTATATTTTATAGACCAATGGGCACTCGGTGGGTGGTGCGGTCAGCATTACACACAGGTGGCCTTGATTCTTAAGTCCATCTTTGAAACACGTCCGGCTCCTCCAGGACCCCACCATCTTCGAATACGCAAGGAGATTATAGGGGTGGGGAGGGGGAAGAGAGAGAGAGAGAGAGAGAGAGAGAGAGAGAGAGAGAGAGAGAGAGAGAGAGAGAGAGAGAGAGTCCTTTAAATGGAGGTATACTTCAACATGGTTGTTCTCAAATATCCATACCTAAACATACTTATACAATTTACCAAACACGCACATACGCCTTCACCAGATATTAAATATGCCATCCTCCCACAGCCTAACTACAACCTCATCGCCAAATACTGCAACATCTGGAGAAACTACAACGATATCTCCGACACCTGGGTGAGTGTGCTGAACATCATCGAATTCTATGGGGACAACAAGGGCAACTTTGCACAAGTTTCTGGCCCAGGAGCTTTCAACGATCCCGACCAGGTATTTGTGACTGCCTAGACATAGCAGAGACACTATGAATATGACTGTGACAACCTGAAATTGTTGTGAACACCAGGTCCTAGCTGTGGCCATCAAGACATGAGTGTGATTACCATGAATGAATTGTGACCACCAGGCCATGAGTGTGATAATCAGGGCTTGATTATGACTACCAGGACATGACAGTGACAACCAAAACATGGCTGTGACGTATTGAAAATTACTGTGACATGCAAGACATGACTGTGACATGCAGGACATGACTGTGACGTACAGGACGTGACTGTGACATGCAGGACATGACTGTGACATGCAAGACATGACTGTGACATGCAGGACATGACTGTGACGTACAGGACGTGACTGTGACATGCAGGACATGACTGTGACATGCAGGACATGACTGTGACATGCAGGACATGGCTGTGACATGCAGGACATGACTGTGACATGCAAGACATGACTGTGACATGCAGGACATGACTGTGACATGCAAGACATGACTGTGACATGCAGGACATGACTGTGACATGCAGGACATGACTGTGACGTACAGGACGTGACTGTGACACGCAGGACATGACTGTGACATGCAAGACATGACTGTGACGTACAGGACATGACTGCGACGTGCAGGACATGACTGTGATTTGTAGGGCACCGCTGTGATGAGCAGATCATTACTGTGACGACCAGGATATGATTGTGACGATAAGGACATAGTTGTGACTACCAGCCAGGACTTGACTGTGACGAACAGGACTTGACTTATAGAGCAGATCACACGACTGTGACTACCAGGACTTGACTGTGACGGCCAGGCGATGACTGTGATATTGCAGCAAATGACTGAAATCACTTAAAAAGGCATGCTAAATTATTCGAACATGAATATTGTTGTAGGTTGTGAAAAATCGGACATGGTATTAGTGACCAGACTTCGGCCAAGGGGTCCGTAGATCGCTGTGATCTAGACTTGGTAGATTGTTTCATCCAGACATAGTAGATTGTTTCATCCAGACAGGGTAGATTGTTTCATCCAGACATAGTAGACTGTTTTAATCCAGACATGGTAGATTGTTTCATCCAGACATAGTAGACTGTTTTAATCCAGACATGGTAGATTGTTTCATCCAGACATGGTAGATTGCTTAAATCTAGATGGTTTCATCCAGACATGGTAGATTTTTAAATCCAGATAAAGTAGATTGTTTAAATACAATACAGTAGACTGTTTCAGTCTGGACAGGGTCGGATATTAACGTAGTTTCAATCCAATAATATTTAAATCCAACAAATACAAGTAATCTGTGTCAATCTAGACGTGGTTTATTATTAATGTGGTTTGTTTCAATCCAATTAATATTTAAATCCAACAAATTCAAGTAATCTGTGTCAATCTAGACGTTGTATATTGTTAAAGTGAATTGTTTCAATCCAATACAGTAGACTGTTTCAATCTAGACATAGTAGATAGTTTCAATCAGGACAAAGTATGCTCTTTAAACCCAGATAGATTAATCTGGACAGAAAAGTGAATTTACCAAGAACCAGAATCTGCACATATTATTCTTTTATTTCCCCACAGATCGTCGTCGGAGATCCGGGCCTCAGCGCGAGCCAGCAGCAAGTCCAGATGGCCATGTGGGCCATATTTGCGGCCCCGTTGTTGGTATCGTCAGATCTCAGAGACATTGACCCTGTATCACGTGATCTCATCTTGAACAAGGGCGCCATCGAAATCAACCAGGACGGAGGGGGGGGGCCTTCCCAAAAAAATTAAGAGAAGGGGGTCACAGAGACCCGTGTAGGAGGGTAAATAAAAAAACATTATTATTATTTGGGCTTAAACAAAATTAAGCCCGTGAAAAAGGGAAAATAAATTACCCTGGTGGGCTGCTAAGGATGAGCACGTGAGAATTTCCCAAATTTCAGGGGCGTCATTTTGATAAATAAGACGTCTTCACCCTGAGGGGGGAGCAGAGAAAAGCGATACTAAGCCGTCCCGGGTTCGGGCACAAAGAAAAAAAATGGGGTTTAAACAACAAGAATTATCTGGAAGCTGTCTTTGAGTGATTTTATAGACAAACAATGAAACTCATACTTTTTACAAAAAATAATATGTTTAAAAGGAATTAGAAAAAAAAACTGGTTTAACGGCGATCACCACTTAGAAAAGGGGTATACCCAAGTCTCCGTTCACTTCACCCAAAGTGAGTCGAAAATCTCGGACACAAAATTGCCCCATGGAATTTTCAAAAATTTAAAGATTTTCTTCAAATTTTTCCCCACACGGGGCTCCCCCCCCCCCCCCCCCCCCTCTACTAAGAGACCCATTTTTTTGGACCCCCCCATTGAGGGGAACCTTGTTTTTTTAATATCACCCCCAAAAAAATTTTTACCTCATTCTAAAGGGAAACTGCTTATTTGGGGCACTTAGTGTGGGGGGGGGGGGGGGTGGAAAAACCCCGTTTGGACAGAAAAAAGAAAATAGAAAGGGGACCAAAAGAAATAAAAAAAAAAAACCAGTTACCGTGCGGGGGAAACAAAAGTCACTTTCCCAAAAGGGTGTTCGCCTTTTCTATGGAAAAAAATTTCTAAAACATAACCAACTAGGCATCCCTAAAAATGTCTTCGTTCGCCAACATTTGGTTTGAGCATGCAAAACAAATCTGGCTCTATAGAACATACGCAAAAATATGTTTTCCTTTAAAATAAAAACACTGACGCTCTTCTCACGCGTCATTATTCCTTTAAATGTTCAAACGCTTTTTTGGGATAAAAAAGTCTAAAATTTTTGGCTTACCCAATAGTGATTTTCACTATTTGTCCCAAAGAATAGCGGGACCAAAAATTTGGCCCAATACGAACACGAATACGAAAAGTGATGTTTAAAAAAAACTAAAAAAAAACACATTTTTAAATTCAAAAACGCTGAAATTTTTCTTCACATAAAGGGGACAGATGTGATCTTTTTTCTTTACATTCTGAGCCCTTAAAAGGGTTTTTGCTGCAGTATCATCTCTCCTTCATTCTCTGGCTGGCCTTTTTTCCAATTGTGACACCATTTTTTGCGGGCCGGCTGGGCATTTTTCTTCGTTTTTTTGTCTGCCTGTGGTTCGCCCCTTTCCCTCTCGGTGTTACAGTTTTTCTTCTCTGCATGACATTTTTCAATTCCCCCAACATTTTGGGTTTGCCTCTGATGAGTGATCTGCGGTTTTTAAAAGATTAGGGGTTACTGTTGTTCGATCTCCATTCCC